GTTCAGCCTGGAGAAGAGAAGGCTGCGGGCAGAGCTGAGTGCGGCCGGTCAGGGCTTCAAGGGGGCCCAGAGGAAAGGGGGGGACAAGCTTTTTAGTAGGGCCAGCTGGGACAGGACAAGGGGGGATGGCTTTAAACTGAAGCAGGGTAGGTTTAGACTGGACCTAAGGCAGAAATTCTTTCCAGTGAGGGTGGTGAAAGCCTGGCAGGGGTTGCCCAGAGAGGGGGTGGAGGCCCCATCCCTGGGAACGTTCCAGGCCAGGTTGGCCGGGGCTGTGAGCAACCTGATGTGGTTCAAGGTGTCCCTGCTCCTGCAGGGGGGTTGGGCTGGGTGACCTCTGGGGGTCCCTTCCCACCCAAACCATTCTGTGATTCTCTGAAGTGGCACTCAAATAGGAAAAACAAACTTTTTGCTGCTACGCTTATCTCAAGCCAAATGCAGTATCTTAATTCTGATTAAGCCAAAAATCCTTGAACTTCCTATTGAACTTCTGAGAACCAATTTACATCGATGTAAAAACAGTGTGACTGTTTATTCAAAGCATGAGGCTCATTTGCAGAAGTTGCTGAGTCTGGAAACTATTTCAAAGTGCTGCTTTGTCTTGCGAGATACGGAGAGAAATGGCAAATATATCAACAGCAGTAAAACTTTATCATAAGCGTCTGAGGTGACAGTAGTTTTGGCAAACCTAGGTGTTGCCATCAAGTTTATTCGGCTCAAGCATTGCTTTCTCTAGGTTGCTGAAAATCTGTTAATACCCTGGGAGTACTTTCTACATGGAATATTGCCTAGCAGGAACCCCATGCTATACAAGCGTGCCTCTGTAAGATAAATTTGCTTGATTTGTCAGGGATGAGGTCGTCTTTGCACAGAAACAAGGAGGAAGCCTTGAAATCTCTTCAGGTCAAAGCTGACGGGTGGCATTTGGTAGAGGACAGTGCACCAGGGCTGGGATTTGCACCGCACGGCTGGCTGCCGAAGCATGGTGCTTCCCTGGAGCAGCGGCGTGCGAGGTGGTGGTGGGAGGGGGCAAACGTGGTGGGAGCCTCTGTCGAGCCGGCGAGAGCGGATCACGAGCGGTAGCTCCCACGTACAAGTCTCACGTCGCCATCCTGCCGTTCAGCCTGCTCTTCCGTATTGCTGTAGGCACGCCGGTGCACCCCGGCACTGCCAAAGCGTGGTGCTGTGGGCTTGTCTTGGTTGGGTGTTCCACTGGAACCTGCAGATCGTTTTCTGTACGGCTGCTGCCCTGTGAAGGTTTTTACCCTCCCAAGGAGGTACCTTGCACAGCCACTTTTGAAGGGTGGTATATGCCTGTTTTCAGACCTCCATTCCGGTTTTTCAAGACTGCTTTGAATTTTAACTCTATCCTCATGCATTTTGTCCCTGCCAGCTCCGTATTACCTGCAGATTCAATAATTGTTCTGCATTCCATTTCATAAATGTTTGGGCTTTCACTTTTGAACCGAAATATGGGAAATAGGCTGATCTGATTTAATTGCATTTAATATAACTTCAAATGTGTTTTTGTCCTCAGAGCTTGTCCCAGGTTTATTAGACTGGGTGACCTGAGTTATCACAGGCTTCAAAAAATTTGCCTGTTCGAGGGACAAAGCTTTTGGCTGTGTGGATATTCTGAACGGGTCCAAAAAAAAGTTCACAAAAATGAAAGGCTTGTGTCTGCTGCATTACAGATTCAATAATAAAACTTTGGAACAGGGGATGAAAGAGTTAAGTTTTCATTCTCAGGTGAGTTGCACTGCCACTTTTGAAATCTTCTGCCAGAGAAATATCCCCCCACCATTCTTGCGTTCTCTTCATCCCAATTAATGAATGCCTGAGGAAGAGGTCGTCTAGTTCTTCTGAAGTCTGTGAAAAACATATCCGAAAAATTTGAGAGTGAAAGTAAATTTCTGGACCTTTTCTTTGCTCATGGCAAGAAACCTGTCACAATGGTTGTAGTAGCTGGTTCCTGCATCATCACTGGTGTCTGTCTTACGGAGTTTGTACGTGGTGGGGGGAGAAGCTTTAAATTATTCAGTGTTTCCATTCAAGTTTGCTCCTGGGAAGTTATTGTCGGTGATAAGCTTCATAGGCATCTGCCTGTAAGGAGGCAGACTTGTTTTTCTTCATGCTTTGTCACCGTCTTGTCAATACTTGGGAGAAATAAGACCTCACTGAAGAGAGTGGAACAGCAACAAACGTGTTTTTAAATGTGCTCTAAGGACAGCTTCTGTCTTCGCGTCACTGCATCAAAACGCACCAAGCCACTCTGTGGTTGTAATATCCATGGGAATTCTTCCAGAATTTTAAACATAAGTACTAGGGTACAGAAATTCCTATTGTTTTAAGGTGATCACATTCTTTAGGCTGATCAAGAGAAAATAAAGATTTGCTCAAAATAAGGTTTGAGAATGAAGTCCAAGCATAGACAGCAACAGTTACTGGCTTCCCTCTTCTTGAGGGCCAGTCTTAGGTTGATCGTAGTATATATTTGTTGGTTTTCCAACAAGTCTATCAGGCTAGGAAGCATTACCTCTTCTGCAGCGGGTTGAATTCAAATCGTCAAATTCATACGTACACACCCGCTCTATTTGTAGTAAAACCAGTATGCTGAAACATTCGATCAGTGGTAGTTACTGTTGTAGATTTTAGAGTCATTTTTGTGTCATGTGGGCTCTGATGGTGATCTTAGGTTGACGGTTCACCTTCATAACCATTAAAAGGTAAAGCTGCATATATAGAATCACAGAATCGTTTGGGCTGGAAAAGCCCTTTAAGCTCACCCAGCCCAATTGTTACCCTAACCCTGCCATCCCACCACTAAACCCTGTCCCTAAGCAAGGTTATAATCCAAGGTTACGTGTTCGGTAACCTACCCGACTTACTTCCATTCTTATATAAATGCACAGATTGCTCTTTTAAGCACACATGTACTTGAAGCTTAAGTAAAAGAACATGGTGTTCAAGTGACCTGTCTTCTCCTGCGTGTCCAGTTGCTTTCCCAAGCTGTTGGTAAGCTCTGCCAGTGCTGATGATTAAAATATGAAAGGTAATGGAGTTGCTTTGTAGTAGCACTCTGTGCAAACTGCATTGGCATTTATGAGCACTGGCCAATCTCGCAAGCACAGCACTGAGAGAAAGATTTCTAAGGGACTGTTGAGTATTGCTTTTGAATATCTTTCTTTGTCAGTTGTATTCAATATTCCATTAAAAATTCAAGCAAATTTTGGAAGAACGGCTTTTTAGATTTACTGCAAGCTAATTTTACCTTCAGAACTAAGTAGCTGGATGGCAGTAGGTTTTTGTGCTTCAGTATTGTTTTATGTAGCAGCACACTGAAAAATGTGCTTATGCCAGTTTTAATGATTTCTTATGTTTACGTTTTTAAGCTCCAGCAGCATGTGACACATTCTGTCCTAAATTATTAGTTCAGCCAAGGAAATCAAGTTCTGTTACATCTGACTAAACTTACAAAAAGCTATTTACATTTCACATTTATGCAAATAATTGCATCGAGGGCTGAGTAAAAGGAGGAGGCTTTTGGTGCCTGTTGGAGTTGAAATTCACCTTTTACAGTTTAAGAAGTTTTACTCTTGTAACTTGGGTGTTGCTGGTTGGGTTTGGTCCCCCCTCCCCCCCCCTTCTTGGAGCTGACTCCTGTATGTGCTTCCTTAGGACCGAATAAGTCACCACGTCAGGGCAGCGTCTGATGTGGTCTGCGGGAATTGCTCTCGCCTGGTTTGTTAGCTGAGCTTCAGTCCACTTGATTATGCTCGGGCACCTGCGTTTAAAGTTAAGCACGTGCGTGTTAATTCCATGGAATGGGAAGGGTGACTTGCTGCTTGAGTGCTTTGCTGAATTAGAGGCTGAGCGGCTGTAGCTTTTCCAGCGTGGTTACCGCTGCGACAGACGCGGAGCCGGCGCTGCTTCCAGAGGGAGAATTGTGCCAAAGCAGCCGTTTTCGTGGCATGACTGAAATCGTATCACAGCTTTTGAAATACAGTTTCTCATTTAAAATTATGGTCCCAGTTAATCGCAAGCAAAGGCGTGTAGACTGACGTTTTTACATAAACTTTTTTTTTCCTTTTAGCTTATTAAAATTCCCAAAGTTGATCTGCCAAATGAAGTGCATACATTTAACTTCTACTTGTCAAAGGTTGGCAAGGATAATCCTCAGGGAAGCTTTGACTGTGTCCAGCAAACAGACTCAAGGTAAGTTTTACTTAACGTTTTCTTTCATGGCAAATTTAAGTAGATTCTGTGGCTCTGAGCGTACAGCCAAAACCTTTAACCAGAAGCATGCTCCTAGTGATGAGCTGCAGCAGAAGATTAATTCCTAGCAATAGCATGATTTCTCGCTAATTATAAATACTTGCTTTTACATAGACTCCTTTTTGGTTTTGCTCTTAAAAAAGTAACCTTCTGAGTACTTTGTCACCTCCTAGTGCTATTTTTAAAAGCGTTTGGAGTTCAGCATCATCCAAGCTAGACCAGATCCATTCTACAACCATATGTAAATATGGTTATGGCTGGCAGCATGCTAGCATGCTGGCCGTGATGGATAGTTGTCTTATTTTAGGAACCACATAAATCGGTGACCATACCCCTAATTGCATGACCGTGGTGTTTCAGAATGCAAATGTAATACAGCAGCGCCTTGTCCTGGTCCTTTGAGTCAAAGTGAACAGTGTTAACGTCTACCGAAAAGGCAAGAAAATACTGTGCTTTTGCATTACCCTAGCTTCAGCGTAGCATCGATGTAGTCCAGCGGAGCCGAATACCTGTTTGTCCCATTTGGTTAGCGAGGACGTGGCAGGCAGAGTTTGTGTATTGATCGGGGGAAGCTGATAGCAAACAGGCACACCGACCCGTGTCCGAAAGGTGCTGCTTGGGCTCTCGGTCACAGGAGAGCTTCTGCCCTCAATTTCAAAGCAGAGATTTGTCTAGATAGCGGGTTTGGGGAGCAATAAGAACACAAGCTGATTTAATAGCTCTCTGCCTAACAGGAGATCTCTCAGCATCCTCATCCTCCTCTTTCTCCCCTTGTGCTAGGTCTCTTTTACTACAATACAGCCTTTCAGTGAATTCACTTAATTGATGGGATTGGCAAAAAGCCGAATGGTTTAGTGGCAGACCTGGGGGAGCCTGGGGCACTGTGGGGTTTTTGGGTTTGGGGTTTTGGTTTGTGGGTTTTTGTTTTTGGTTTTGTTTTTTTTTTTTTTTTGATTAAACTCTATCTGAAAGGGGCCGGACAGCTACCGAGGCTGAGTGCCTGCCGAGGGTGCCAGGTCCTGCCTCCGCTCCTGGCTCGCCTCTCCCAGGCATCTCTGAGGGCACTTTCTTCTCGGGAAGCAGCACCTTCAGTTAAATTAAACTGGATTCATTTTATAAGTCAGATTAAATTTAAGCTGCTTGAGCGCTGAATGATTCTGAATAGCATGCCTAGGTAGTTTTAATGTGGCTTTACTAATCTACTTCAAAATCTAATTCAGACTAGCTTTCTGGAGGTCCTTTGTAGCCAGCACTGTTTGCGTAAAGTGCCTGCAAAGTTAATGCGGAACTTAAGTAGTGTCACATGCAGAGTCGTTGAAAAAGAAAAGCAGGGAGGACCTTTGCAGGGTATCTGGTCTAGTTTTGTGCTCAAGTCAGGTCTAGCTTCAAAACTGGCTCAGATTTGGAAAATGCCCAGCCCGAGGAGGGGGATTACAGACCATCTCGGTCAGTGCTCAGCCACTCCTGTGGTGAAAAAAGTGCATAAAGGCAGTGATGTTCAAGGACGTGGGCAATGAGTAAAAGCTGTGCTTCAGATGACAAGAAGGACTTTTTTTTTTTTTTTTTTTTTTTTTTTTTTTTTTTTCCCCTCTTTCTGTTGTAAATATGCTGGTCTTGGAGCAAGGAATCAATACATAGCTCTAGGCTACGGACAAAACTGAGATTCGTCTTGAGATTCGGTCAGTGGCTTGGTCTAGCTTTGTAGCTTTCAGAAACGACATAGTAAGTTGGGACATGAGATTCTTGACCCTTCTTCTGGGAGGTGGTTAAAATGGTTTGGGTTAGGTAAAGCCCGAGCTCTTTCTCTGGTCGGAGCGGTTGCAATGGCAGGTGCCACATGGTGTACTCGTTAAGAGCAGTGCTAGTTAGGTGAGTTTAAACAAAGCCACTGTTAGTCGAGGTGCCCTCCTGGCTGGGCACAGCACAGTGTGGGAGCGGGTTTGGACTGACCACGGATGGCCAGGCTCCTCCAGAACGGCCTCCTGAAGCCCACCTCGTGGTCCTTCCCCTCGTGCGGGGTTTGCCCTGAAGCACCTCCTCTTCTCAAAGGGGGATCCTCGGGGAACCAGCGCCGTCAGGCGCAGAGAGCAGGCGAGGAGGAGGAGGGTGGACATCTCCGAAAGCGAGATAAGGGCAGCCTGGGGGCGCTGGCCGCGGGGGGAGGAGAGGAGGCATCTGCTGGGCTGGGAGCCGGGCGGCCAGTGGAAAGCTGCCCACTGTTGGGGCGCCAGTGTAACCGCCCGGGTTGTCCCCGTCGTTGTCATTGCAGCCAATGCTGCCCCGAGCCTGCCTCAGATACGATTACATGAGGAAAAGTCACTACATCGACAGGTAAAACTGATGCAATTTGGGTGTGTAGAGACAATCTGAAATACATTTACACCCTAGCTAGCTGTCAGAACTGGAAAACGTTTTTCTTCACCTGTTAAGACAGGTTCAAAAGTTCCTGATACAACCATACATCTAAACCTGAACTAGTGCTTGGGCTCAACCTTTTTCAATGTTTTTGTAGTTCTGGAGCCTCGCAACTCAGTTGCCTGGGATTTATACAGAATAAAATTACAGTATGTGCAACAAGTGATTCCTATCTGACGACCAGAGAGCGCATGACCCAGGCAGAAGAGGAGTCGCGCAATCGAAGTGCAAAGGTTATTAAACCTGGTGGACCATATTTAGGTATGGTTGTATTTCATTTTCTACTAGATGTCTGTAAGTTTTCAAACTCAGTAATTCATCTTTTCAGCATATTCTTGGGAAAGGTGGTGTGTTCAGAGGTCTCGGATGCAGGCAGCTTGCCCTGGTGTTACAGGTTGGCGGTCTCCTGTTGCTGCATTCAGACATTAGCCTTTTTTTAGCCCCAGAAAGCCAGCCAGTCCTTCCTTGTTCCCATATTGCTTGACTGGTTGAAATTTTGACCGTTGAGGTGAGGGCTTTTACCACCCCATGCACTTAAATTCTCTGGTGTAGTAGCTAATGTTTTTGTAACAGCAGCTTGGAGTACTTAAATGCTGTGCTAAACCATTAACCTTAATTTGTCATCTAAAAAAATTAACATTGAGGAAGTCTTATGTACAAATTCTTAAGCTTAATATGAAAAACTTTGGTTTTCACAGGTGCTAATGCTGATTAAATTTTATTTATTTTCTGTCTTGGTCATTCATAACCAACTGTTACCACAAGACCATGTGTGGTTTTTTTTTTTTTTTTTTCTTAAAAAGTTAAAGTAAGGTAACGTTGGCATCTTCCCATGGATTTCTTCGTTTTCCACAAAACAAAAAGCATTTAGATGGTATCATTCATTATTAAACTGTTCTGAGTAGCGTTTCCCCAAGGAGCTCGGAGCTGGCTGCGGATAGACGCAAGGTGAGCATCCATCTTATAGGTGGTACAGGCAGCAGCAGTCCTGCCCGCAGCAGCGAGCTCAAGCAGGTACAGCAATCCTCGTAAAGTCAAACAGGCTCTCACTTGGCTTTGGCTGCCGTCCTCCGCCAGCAGGGACGTCCCCGACAGCCGTGGTGCAACGCTTGCTCTGCCTCAAGAGCATTTTTAGCTGGCATCGTCATGGCTTTTTGGGGATGCAAAACTACATGTGTGTGGCCTTGATGCTACGGGAGCTGGGCGCGGGTTAATACCAGGAGCTGGAGTTGGGACTGCTTCCCCTGTATTGTCTGAACTGCTCTTTAATGGCAACCTGAGCGCAGCCACTGTCCTCTGTTTCTAAACTTCTCATTGGGGAAGTCCTGCTTTACCTGTGAACGATCTGTGTGATTCTTGTTAATTGTTCCAATAGAACGTAAGTGAATATTTAACATTAAATAAATGGGTCTGAAGACTGGCAGGAGGGCAGTTACGGTGTTTGGGGGTACTTTTGTTTCAGACTGGCATTGAGGAAGCTCAGGTAGGGTAGGTCTGGTTGCTGGTAGGTCACAGCAGTGACTTTGCAATATGCTTCGTGCAGTACAAATTAGGAACTGTGGTTGTTAATCATGTACATGCTTGGCTATGTTTTCAGTTAATTTTTTTTTTTAACTGATTCAGAGAGAAGGCTTCAGGAGGTGTTTTGTTTGAACACTGCTTACACTACACGCCGTGCCAGGGGTTTGTGTGCCTACACCGAATTTGACTTGTCAAAACGTTTGTAATGTGTTCAGTAAACAACTGGCAAGTTCACACTGTTCTAAAATTGCAACCACGTGTGTTTGCATGGTTGGGTCTGCTCTTAAAAACCGGGAGGGCAAAGTCCAGGGAACATGCAGGGTGGAAAGGTTGTGAAGGTTTTGCCTCCACTGTAAAATGGAACAAACTTATGCTGTTCCTGAGGACGAGCAGTACGTTAAGCACTGCTCAGCCTCTCTGTGTCTGATAGAAGGCTTTTTCTCAATGCTCATTGAGTCTCCCTCATGTACCAAGCATGAGTCGTTGGTTTCAGAAAAATGCCTGGCTAGCGTCACATCCTCTGTTGGATTGCAGACAGTGTTTACTACAATGATTTTCTGTAATCTTCTGATAAATCCTTTTTTTTTTTTTTTTTTTTTTCCTGTCCGATAGCAAATGCTAGTTAAAAACACAACAGTAGAGGAGTTTGGGTCCTTTTCTGGAAAACTGAGATTCAGGTTGGGTGTTGTTACTTTTAAATTCTGGATGCATCGCTTGCAAACTCTTGCATTGTTCCTCCAGTTGAGAAACACATCTTTTTATCGCATTTGATCCAAAATGCTGTGCAGGCCGTGTTTTAAAAATTCTCTGGCCTTGGCCCCCAAACTGTTAAATTTTTGGTGTATTGTTTCTGGCAAACCTGGGCTTATTTAATAAAAGTGTGACATTTCAGCTTAGAATGTGGTGTAACTTATGGTACCTCAAGTAATTAACACCAAGGGTCAGTAGTTTCTTTAAGCAGTGATACAATTAATCGTGTAGACTTGGTCTCCCTAGGCATTAATGGGGAATCTTTTAATTATATGGAAGACCTTTGTATCACACTTTAGAGTACTCTTCTGGAAGAAAAAGAGCCTGACTCTGGGTGTTCAGTGCTTGAGCTTATAAACTGGAAAAGTAATACAAGCACCACCTATATGAACAATGGGTAAAGTCTTCCTATCAGTATCTCTCATTTACTAGCTTTTTTTAATATTGAATATTTCTTTGTTAATGCCTACCTCAGTGTGTCTTCACTACCTGCGTATTCTTACAGATCTTGACATGCTGACTCAATGCAGCTTTTAGAGTTTATCCAGCTTAGTAAATTCTTTTAAATCAACTTTTTTGTCTTCTCCCAACCTCCTGTGTCACTTTTTTTTTTTTTTTTTTTTTCCCCTCTTTACTTTAGGAAAAAGAGTACCAATCAGAAGAGCACCACAAAGCGTTCCAGATGCTGCGCCTGAGAGGAAGAGGTCGACGCCCATGAACCCTGCAAACACAATACGGAGGACTCACACACACAATACTGTTTCCCAGCGACCGTACAGGGACAGGGTGATTCACTTGCTGGCACTGAAGAGTTACAAGAAGCCAGAGCTACTTGCTCGCTTGCAGAGAGATGGTGTCAACCAAAAGGACAAGAATTCCCTTGGAACTGTCCTTCAGCAGGTGAGATCACAGGGTTTGTGGCAGCATTTTCTCCCTCCTGCTATTCTTTGAATCATAATTTTGAGGTGTGTTACTCCTGTATTTAAATTAGAAATTAATAAACAACTTACCTAATGCTCCTTGTTTAAGTTTTTCAGTCAACTTTATACAGATGCTCCAAACTGCAAGTCAACATGGGGAAAGGAAAGAAATATTAAAGAATTTTCGGGGAGTGTTTTTGTTTTGCTAGAATGGCAGATGATAATAAAATCTTTCTAGCTGTCTTGCTCCTGATGACTTATTTTTTCCTCTCTCTTTTACCTGGACTGCTTAACTGCTTAATTGAGAGAAACCGACCATGCGTTCTCTAAATTGCATAAAACAGTTTGTCATAGTACTTAATATTTCTCGTGACAAGTTTATGAGGAGACAAGTTTGGTAACTGCCTATTTTAGTATTTCATTTGAGCATGGTTGGTGGCCTGTAAATGGTAACTTGGCTTCTCTTGGGATCTGTTAGAATTGCAATCTAGGGAAGGGTTTTCCAGCCAAACTGTAAATGGAAAAGGTGGTGCTCCAGTTTCGAGCACAGTGTTTCTTTGCTGTCCTGCGGACTGTGTCTTTATCTTGCCTGAAAGCTTTTTTTATTCAGTAGCTTGTCCAGTGCTCCTTTGAGTTAAGATCCACTTGTATTTCTTTATCATACCCATCAACATTATTGCTAAACCTATAATGTTACATGTGAAACTTTTAAGCTGTGTGTTGACGAATGTCACATTAATTTTCTACTAAAATAGGTCAGAAAAGGCTTCTTAAAGTATCGTAACATGCAGTGGCTCCTCCCTTACTTTTTAAATATTCCTGGTACCCATAGACTGTTGCTGAATTACGCGTCCATTAATATGTGAAGTAGGAATATTTCCTGTTTATTTAGGAAAAAAGTGTTTTGTAACCTGCTAAAGTGAGTAAAATTCAACATCCATACAGCTTTGGTTGATCCTACCCTGAATTTTAAAAACTCATTCCTTGAATATGTTAAATGTTGCTGCTTTGTTTGCCCGGTGCAATGGTTGTTTTTCTCACCCTGAAGACATACACAATTTAATGATAGCCATGTTCTTATGTGCAAATTGAAGTAGACCGTTTATACTTTAAGTTGGTTATAAAATTCCAAAAGCTCAGCTCCCTAGAGGATAAAAGGTCCAAAAATTTTCTCCTGTCCCATTATGCTTGGCAGTGTTTTAAGGCGGCTTTCCTGAAGTCTGTTTCCTGTGCGTGGTGTGAACAACCTCAAGGTACTGGTTTGCATTCAGCAATGGTCATGTTAGCAGCCCTACACCCTGTTCACATTTTTTAACTTCATAATGAGGGTTTTTTGTACAAATCTAAAATCAGCAGCCTGAACTTGCTGAGGTCTAATATGCATAGATTTGCTTCTCTTGGAGTAGAGCTTTAATTCAGTTTTTAACAAGTGAATTACAGTTTCTAGGTATCTTTGTTGCTTTGATTTTTTTTTTTTTTTTTTTTTTTTTTTTTTTAGGTGGGCGCA